GAGGTACAGCCAGTGTAGAAATGGCAACAATACCCATGGCAGGAATACCTCATAGATCTGGTGCTTTTTCTCACTGAGCCAGGACACCGTCTCAGATTCCTTCCCAATACCAGTTTATGCCCCTGACCGAACTTTATGGAACAACTGCTGTGGGCTAGGTTCTTTCACACATGCTACCTGATTCAAATTAATTGTCATAACCACTGAAGTGGGATAAAGACACTATGGCTCAGAGAGGCTGACTACCTGGAGAGCACCCAGTCGTTGTGTGCACTTGAGCCGCACTCTGCCCCAGACCTCTCAGACCAAACCTAGGGCTCATCCCCAAGGCATGTTCAGTGAACAAGAAAAGGCTAGTGTGTGTGCAGAAGAAAAAATGGGGGGCTTCTAAGCCTGAATCTATGTCCTAGTTGGAGTTAGGAGGTAGGGAGAAGAAGGAATCTTCTTCAGTTTCTGTAGTGGAAGGGCCCTGCCTCCCACCAAGACTCACACAAAACAAAGAGGGGAGTTCAGATGCTCAGCAGCCAAAAACACAACAGATGTCTATTGCACTTACTATGTTCTACTTGTCTACTGCTTATATTTCTATTCCCTCTGGCTGTAGATACCTGCATCTTTCATTGGCACCTTAGCAAGGCACACACTACACACTCAGTGTTTTTAAATGGATGCAGGCAGGCATGAGTTTTTTGCTCCTTTGAGGAAATTAATGCCTTTCAAGACACTCAACTATCAGATGCCTCGGGTAGTACTTCCAATGGGAGAATGAAATTTGATGTGCCCACTTCCCCATAGTGCCTCACCACAACCCCTGCCGACTCCTTGCTCCTCTGGATAGCTGAAGCCCAGAAGGTTAGAGCTGTTTATAAAGAAAAGAACCATTTCTCACTGGTAAGAGGCATCCCCTCGATGTTTCAGTTGTAGCCAGTCCCAAAGAAATCTCCCAGTGTCCTTTGAGATACTAACTCACTGACTTCCAGTATCCAGACCATTAGTCCATAGCCTAGGCATACAGCTCCATGTCATGTGCTATCAAAATTCAAAGCTCCCTGAAGGACACAGGTGTATTGACCTTCTACTAGGCAGCAGGCACTGTGCAGGCTTGATTTCACAGTAACCCAATCTCTGCAGGCGGCATTATCCCATTTTAAGGAAACTGAGGGTAGAAAGGAAGCCTAAATCTTCTTCCTAATAAAGGCCAAGCCCTATATACAACACAAACCAGAATACCCATGATTTTAGCGTTCTGCCAGAAAAAAGAATCCACATGTAAATGTCCTCTTTTACTGACATTTCACAAATGCTTTCCGTTAATTTCTACTTGACACTCAGGGCAGCATGGGCTCACATAAGGTCTCACCTCGGATGCATGGTCGCCATGCAGTAAGCATGCACCTGAGAAGGTGCTCCTGAGGGGGAGACCCACCTCCAAACTTCCTACAAAGGTTTCCAAATGCCCCTGCCCACCTCTCTCTCCTCATTTTCCTGAGAGAAGCTCCCTCTCTGATCTCTAATTAGCGGACTCCTTAGTTCCTCAGGGGAGCCACGGTCCTTGATTCTCCCTCCCTCACCCCGTCTCAGCCTCTTCCCAGCCTCACTGACACACCGCCGACACCGATTTCTCTCCTCTGGAAGATCTCCCGAGCCTCCCGGGTTCCCATCGTCCTCTCTCTCAGGTTGTTTCTAGCGCAGCTTTTCAAACCCTTCATTTGCCCTCATTGCCTCTAGGAAAATGCCCCAACCTCCTGTGGTTTAGAGGGCACCCACTTTTCCCGCTCCAGACACACTGGCTTTTTTGTTATTCACTGAATGGGCCAGGCACGGGCCAGGCACCCCTGCCCAGGGCCTCAGTACCCCAGCTCTCAGCCAACCAGTGCCCCACCTGGAAGTGCCCTTGTGCACTGGACACGTGCCTTCCCGCAGAAGCCGCCTCAACCTCCAGGCCTGGTTAGGTCCAGGCTGTGAGCTCTCGTGGCTCCGGTTTACCCAGATGAAATTAGAAACCAGCCCCCATACCCGGAGGGCAGGGAGAGACCCGAGAAAGAGGCAGCCAGCTCCAGAGGGGCAGGAGGCAGGCTTCGCAAGCAAGGGAGCCCGTTTACCAGGCTTGCCCGGGGCCGCTGTAAGGCAAGTGGCCCCCGGAATCACAGGTTTACAGAGTCCTTCACTGGGCTCCGCCACTATTCAGTCCTGCCCACTCGACAACACATTCGTCTCTCAGGGCTGCATCCTTGAAGACGGCTTCCTCCGAGGGAACAGAGGGCAGAACTTAAATTCAACGCCAGGGGCAGAGCCTCTGATAGCCCAGATGCTGCTCAAGGGTCAACCAGAGGTCACGTCCTCTCATGACCTCTTCCCATGCTGTGTTGACCGCAGTGGTGCAACAGTGAAGCTCTCTTAACTGACTTCCCCCTGACCCTGCCGAGGGAACCTGCAGCCCCTTCCTGGTAAGAGCTTCGTATGTGGTGCCCCCTGGAAGCCCCTCCAGCTGCTGCTCCCCCTGGTTGTCCCATAATAACCTAGAGTCACAAGGGCAGGGATTGTTCTTCAGTTCCCTTACTAATTTAGTTCCAAAATTCATTTGTTATAAAAATGGACAGAAATGAAGATAAAAAGAAACTTGTTGCTGTGAAAACTAAGTTGAATGCTTTAAAAAGACTCAATAAGAAAACAGTTTTTAAAACAACAGCTTTAGATTAGATGTGGATCAAGCATACATTGAAAGATTGGAGAATATATAAAAAGAAAAAAATGTTTAAAGCCTAAGATTCTGCACTCAGACTATTTAGAAAATACCAAAACTGAAAATTGTAGATGATAAGTTATGAATGTGCTTTGAGCAAAAATGATCACCAGCCATCAGACCCACGTACAAAGGAAAGACCTTGCCCTATGTTTTAAAATGGTGTGTTAATACACATTTATGTTTTAAGTTATCACATTTAAATTATATTTCCTTTTTTAATGACTCCCACATTAGCCTATTTTTTCAATTAGCAGTCATGCTTATTATTGGCACATGGCTAGTGCATCACCCTTCCCATTCCCAAGTCTGGACGGATAGTTCTCATTGTGGTATCTCCCACCTACAACTGGGTGAGCACATCATAGACCCTTGGTAAAAATGTGTTGAGTGAAAGACTGAAATAAATGAGAGAGCTGGAAAGTCAACCCCTACATGTCTCTCTTCAAAGGCTTGCTCTTTCTATTACCCGGGAGCCTGCCTTACTTGGGGGAATATGACTGATATCCCAGACCATCAAACTCTCTTTATTGCTTTGAGAGAGAGAGAAATCTAAGTTTCCTTTTCTTTTCTACCAAAGACTTATTCAGCCCCCAAATTGTAGAGATACCTACTTTCACATTTCATTTACCGAGTCAACCACCAAAAGAAGAAGAGGAGTCTGAGACAGAAGTCAAAAAATCTCATCGTACTGTTCGCCGAAAGGAAAAATTAGAAGTAGATACAGAATGGATAAAGAGCAAGACTGAGGTTGGTATCTTGGTGCATTCGGTGTTTTTCTTTGTTTTTTGGCTCTGGTGAGATACAACACACACCATCACGGACTGTCAGAACCAATACACAAGGTGAATATCAACAAGAAAATGCATCCAATATATAGAGGCAGACCTGAATGTGTGGGTCATTAGCAGGTTAGTTAGGACTTTCATTAAGGTTTACTGAGACTATTCTCCTTGCAGGGCCTGTATTAGGCAATTGAATGGGGTTGGAAGTGGAGTAAAGGAAATACATATTATAATATATAGGTCCCTTCTCTGATAAACGTAAAATCTATAGCAAAAAAGAATCACATGATGAATGGATAAAGAAACTATGGTACATGCATACAATGGAATATTATTGAACGCTAAAAAGAAATTACCTTTCAAGCCATAAAAAGATATGGAGGAAACTTAAATTCTTATTACTAAGTCAAGGAAGTCAATCTGAGAAGACTACATCCTATATGATTCCAACTGTATGAAAAGGCAAAACTATGGAGACAATAAAGAGATCAGTGATTGCCGGGGTTGGGGGAAAGGGGAGAGGGATGAATAGGTGGAGCACAGAGGATTTTTAGGGCAGAGAAAATACTGTGTAGGATACTCTAATGATGGATACATGTCATTACACATTTGTCCAAACCCACAGAATGTACATCTCCAAGAGTGAGCCCTACTGTACACAATTGCCTAATACAGGCCCTGCAAGGAGAATAGTCTCAGTAAACCTTAGTTAACCATCCTCTCTATGGATAACTTTATGTAAGCCATCCAGCCTCTCTTAAATGAGGATAACGATCAAGCCTACTGGGTGGGGCCAATGTGTTGTGGAAGTAAAGTGTTCAGTGCAGTGCTTGGGGAAAGAGCTCGCTGTATCCATCAGCTACATAAGATCATTGGCACTTCTCAGTGGTTTCCACCCGGCCGCCCAGGTTTGCAGCATTTACAGCCCATGCCCCAGGGAGCCCACAGCAGCTCCTTCTCAAACAGCTACATCTTTTTCTTTGATCATCTTAGATCTTGGCATTCTGCTATAAGCTATCTTGAAGAAAGGCGTCTTCAACTGTTAAAAATAATAGCTTGAAAACCACTGATTTGACTTCCAGTTAATGTGGGATACCAGATGACCTAAAAAGCCTTCCTACTACAAACACAAAGGAAATTTAGATGAAATGTAAAAAGCATCTTTTTAAAGGCAGAGCAGAGTGTAAGAAAGTAAGGGAAATAATCAATACCACAAAATAGAAATTGAAAAATCAGAAGACTGAGAATGTGAGTGTGGTGTGAGGTGAGACCAGGGGTGTGCTGGGGAAGGGAGGGGCGGGAAGCAGGAGAGTAATGTGTCCTTCCAACCCAGGGGCTTAGGTTTTAATGCCCAGATGGGAACATGAAACACACATCCTGCCCAGCATACGTGAAGTAGCTGTAATGACAGATCACACACAAGGCCACTAACCCAGTCTCTGCAAACATCAAAGAGCCAACAGCACAGAGACTATGCTAGTTTATCCCAATGCATTTTGATTGGTAATAATAACATAATCAAAGCACTTCGTACATTTGCAAATTTTAAAATGCCCTTGTAAATAACTTGTGTATCCAAGAAATCATATTGGATATTTGAAAATATTTAGAGTCGAACGGTAAGGTAAGTACCTACATGCACAAGAAACAGCCAAAATAGTATTTTGAGAGAAGCATTATAGCTTTTAGTGCTTTATATTAAAGAAGGAAGATGACAAGGGATATAGTGAAGAAGAAGAAAGATGAAAACCACAGGGCTCAGTGTACAAGGAGTACAAAAAAAAAAAAAATAGAGTACTGTAGAACCCCCAAGAAAGCAAAGTATATAAAAGATAAGAGCAGAAATACATTTCTGTGTCCCCAGTGCCTCAGAATGTAACCTTACTTCGAAAACTGGTCTTTGAGGATGTAATTAGTGAAGATGAGGAGATGTTGCAGTGGGCTTGGCCCCTGATCCTGCATGACTGGTGTCTTACAAGGAGATGCAGAGACACCGGGAGACAGAAGTAGAGACCGGGCAATGAGGCTGCAGGCAAAGGGACAGCAAGAATACTGCCATCCCCCAAACTGAGGACCGAGGATGCAAGAGATTCTCCCCACAGCCTCCAGAAAGAGCAAGCCTGCTGGCACCCCAATTTCAGGCTTCCGGTCCCCAGACTGTGAAAGAACGGATTTCTGTAGTTTTAAACTGTCCGGTTTATGTTACTTTGTTATAGTATGCAGCCCCAGAAAACTAACACAACCAACAACCATTAGAGTGATTGAAATAATAGTTTAAAATTTGCACACACAGAGTGATCCATTTCAGCCTCCTTATCACATAAACAAACTGAGGGTCTGAGAAATTTCCTATCCAGTATTCGCCAACAAGCTGGTGGCAGTGATGGGTGGGATGGTGTTGGGTGGAGTGGCATGTGGACATTTGGAGAGTAAGCAGACAGATGCCAGCCCTCAGTGACAGCACCACTCTGAGTTGGGGGATCAGCCCCTATGCACTTTTCCTAGGCTTGTCTTCTCTTTCCAGGTACAAGAAGGTGATGGAAAATTAATTCTCTACCCCAGTGAGAATGTCTTCCAAATTATCTTTCATGATGGATCAGGCCAGATCCAGTATCCACTAGAGCCCGGGGACACTCGTAGTGACACATTTGGTCCCTCAAAAATCATGACAGGGGCTGGGTTTTACTGAGGACTGCATCCCCTTTTCTGGGAGATCCCAAGGGACTGCTTGTGCCTTAACCAGCAGTTATCCATCAGGTAATGTGGCTCTGCTCATCCTCAGTACGAAAGAGAGAGAGCTCACATATATCATTCTGGAAGACAGTGAAGAAATGTGTTTCCGGGCCTTTGTCAACAACTCTGGCCATGCCACTTTCTATGATGAAAACGGAGAAATCTGGTAAGTGAGTCATGAGTCCTAAACACCCCTCCCCGTGGAGAAGCAGTGTGGTTAAGGCATGGTTCTGTCTGCACAGCCCTCCCCTCTCCCTGGTAAGTCTCTCTTTCTCTCGCTCGTGCGTTTGCAAGTTCATTTACCTGATTCACGCGTGTTGGAAATGGAAATGGGTAGCATGATGGACCAGTGAGTCAGGTCCCTGAGCTCAGAGAGAGCACACAGTCCTTACGGCTCCATCGCTCCCCCATGATGAGATCGCAGTGCACTCAACAGCAGCCACTGCGACTGGCTTCAGGGCCTCCACACTGCTTGAGAGGCAAACCTCAGGAGAATGACCTTAGAAAGACTCTTCAGGATGCCCCAGGGAGGAAGGTTTGGGGAGGGCTTTGGAGAAGCATGTACTGTACACAAAAGCAGAGCTTCTAAGTATTTCATTGGAACAGAGCTTACTCAGGTTCCTTACTCAGTAACAGTGGGAAGCTTCATCTTACCAATTCAAGGTAATTCAGCTGCTTCAAAGTTTTTTCTCCCTCTCTGGGGAAGTACTCTGGCTTTTCAGGATTTCTGCCTCCCCTTCAGTTCCAAGCACTATGGAGTGGGAAATGCCTATTATCCTGGGTCAACTGGATACTTAACTTTCTTCCTGATAGTCAAAGCCAATTTTTTGTTAATTCCAAAATATATTTTCACTTTCCAGGCCTTGGTTTTCAAGATTATTTTCTTAAATATTCTCTGAGTTTTTTAAATATCATTTCCTAGTAGACACCTTCATTCCCAGAGGCATTCGCCCTCCCCTGAGGGCCTGTTGTGGACTGTCACTGCATCACTGATGTCCGGAAGGTGGGAGGAGGTACTGGTTACCAGGAGCTCCTCTCTCCGAGCCAGCCTGCAGCCCCCTGGCAGATGGCCTCAGCAGCCCAGGCTTCCCCAGCCCTACCTCCTCCTGACTAGCCCAGGTCTCAGGCTCTCTCTCTTCTGTGTCTGATCCCAGAGAGAAGTTGCTGCCCCAACAGCACGATTCTAGAGGCAGTCCTGGTGGATTCAAGAAGCCAGAGCAGGGCCAGAGGCGTATGGGGGGTCTGAAATGCCAAGAAAGGATGGTTCAAAGGAGAATAGGGCCTGGCCTAGGTAAGGGAGAAACCTCCTGTAGCCCTCACTCATCTGACACCTGTTATCTGGCACCAAGCACGGTGCTGGGCAGGAATTCATCAGGGAATCAGACAAATGTGGATCTTGCCCTCAGGACCACATTTTACACTTCCATTTTAGTGGGAGAGACATTTAGAGGTGATAAACAAGGATAGTCGGTTTTCCTCATTCAGGATAGTTCTGTGCTCTGGTTTCACAAACACTGAATTAGTTAACACTGAACTCATCGCCCCCAAGGGAAATATGTCACAAACATGCACAGGGCAGTGAAAAGTCTGAGTTGCCTGATGTGCACGTTCACAGCTGAGGCCGAAGCAGGTGGCTCTGCCCTCTTGTTGCAGCTCCCGCACAGACGACGAGAAGATGGAGGTGGGAGTGGTAGGGCAGTGTGCTGCAGGAAGGCTCTGAGGCCAGGTGGGCTCCTCCAGGATGGGTTGCTTCTAGGAGTAAAGTTTGAATGATAATAGATAGATGATAGACAGATGGATCTAAGATACACACACACACACACACACACACACGTTTTCCCTAGGAGCAATGGGTTCAGTGTTTGAGGCAACTTTATAGAACCTAACTATTGCAAATAAGGAGATTCAACTGTATACATTAGCAAACAAGTAGAAAAACCTAGCAAGGGGCAAAGGTGAAGAGTTATACAGGGAACCAGAGGGGCTGGTCAGGATGTTTAAGGTGATGCTTAAGCTGAGACCCACGGGATCAGCAGGAGCTGCCAGGCCAGGCAGGGTGGGAAGACCTCTCCGGGCAAAGGGAACAGCATGGCAGAGCCATGAGGCATCAAGAGTACTCATGACCCAGGAACTTAAAGGCCAGAGTGGGAGGGAGGGGCTGGGACGGAGAGGAGACTGAAAGGCTGGGCTGCGGGCCGTGCCTAGTGCTGGCTTCACCTTCCCTGGGGGACTTCTCTCTCCTGCCAAGACACTGTGGGCCCATTTCTGGACCAAGGAGGAAGGAGAAAGAAAGGAGGGCAGGGAGGAGCAGCAGGGCCGTGACCCGCCCCAGGAGAGGCTGTGCCTCCACCCCAGGGCTAGGTGCTGTGGCTGCTGGATGCCTTCTTGGTCTAGGTTGAGCCTGAGCCGAAACCTGGGCTACTACTTCAACAAAAGCAAACGGCAAAAGGCCTGGAACTGGTGGAATCTCAATGTTCACGCCCACGCACCCCCTGTCCAGTCCATCTCCTTGAAAATCAACCGGTACATCGAGGTAAAAATAACGGGCCAGGATAAGATCATCTTCCGCTTCGTCCACCAGAAGAAGCACATTTGCTTAAACCTGGGCACCAAGTACAAGGTAAGGTCTCAGCAACTCACCAGGCAGGTGCCCCTTGCACCCAGGCCACAGCTGCCTGGGACTGGCCCATGCCACAGGCCCCCAGCCATGCTCTGCATCACTCCAACCCATAGAGAAACAAGGCCCCTTTCGCTGACCTGATGATTAACCACATACAAAGGCATTCATTTAACTTGGGAGCCCCCTGAGATTTGAGCTGGGGTAACTGACATCCTCAAAGAGCTCAGCCATGAGCCAGAGGGAAAACTGAAAATGTCAACAGGCATTATCTCACCTGACACAACAGCTCTGCCAGATGGCAGGGCCAGAAACACAGGGGAGATCTGTGTCCCCAGCCCTGGGCTGGTGTCCTCTCTGTCCCAAACACTGTCAGAACAAATGACCCCCTAGAAGTTCTGGGCAAGAAAGTAGCAAAGCTTTTTCATTTCCCAGGGCTCCCACAAACTGGGGGGCTTAAAACAACGGAAATAGATTCTCTCACAGTTCTAGAGGCTAGAAGCCTGGAATCAAGGTGTCTGCTGGGCCGTGCTCCCCACAGAGGCTGTAGGGGAGAGCCCTGCCCTGCCTGTCCCAGCTTCTGGTGGCTCCAGGTATTCCTTGGCTTGAAGCTGCACCACTCCAATCTCCCCCTTCGCTGTCACACAGCCTTCTCTGTGTCCTTCTCTGTGCCAAATCTCCCAACCCCCACTCCTACATGGACACCACACATTGGATGGGGGACACCCCCCTAAGTCCAGGATGGCCTCACCCTGAGATCCTTAACTTAATTGCATATGCAATGACCCTGAATAGGGTCACATTCACAGGAACTGGACATATCTTTGGGGGCCACAATCCAGCCCACTGAAAATGATGAGTCTGGACCCTGGAGCCCTGACTGTAGGGTGAGCAGGTGGGCTCTTGAGACCCCCTCCCCAGGGCCAAGTCCAGGAGAGGGATAAGTGTGTCCTTGGTCCCCCAGTGAGACCCTCACAAGACCCTGTTCTTGCTCAGCTCCCCTTCCCCATTCCACAAAAGACTCCATGCACAGACCCGTCAGAGAGGCATCCAAGACACCGAGAGCAGGACCGCCTGGGGAGACACGTCTCCTGGGAGGTGAGGCAGATGGAGAAATAGGGTGATGGAGGAAGCAGCTGAGCAGCAGACTCTGGCAAAGCTAAGCTGCATCCCTGTTGGTTGAAAGGAGAGGAGGGAATATAGTAGGCTTAGGTGACCAACCACCCAGTTTGGCCAGGACTGAGGGGTTTTCCAGGTTATAGGACTCTGAGTGCTAAAACTGGGAAAGGTCCAAGCAAATCTGGACAGCTGGTCACCCCAGGTTCCGCTGCCTGGCAAGGCCTGCTACTTCACAGGCTGGGCAGTGACGTCCCGACCTCCTCACCTGGGCTGCATTTCCCAGGGCAGCCCTCACAGTAAAGAGGAGGCACGTAGTCAGCACTACCATCCCCCGAGTCATCCATTTGCCCCATGCACAGCAGGGACAAGCTAAGAGGGGACAGCGATGGAGAGGGCATGAGAACCTGAGCCACCAGCCTTCAAATGACAGTGGGTTCCTCTGAGGGCAGGGTGGGCCAGGAAAGAAGTCAGTGCCCAGAGAGGGCAGGAGAAAGGCTGCATGGACAGAAAGCCTGGGGAGCTGTGCCCATGGAGGGTGGGCCCCAAATGAAGCAGATGAGCACAGATGGGACCAGCCAGCAGGATCCGCTCTGACTGGGCAGCTGGGTGTCCTGGGAAGAACACGCCGGCCCCTCCACTTCCTGCGTGACACCAAGCTGGCCTCACGCTCTTTCTGAGCCCATTGTCGTCTATAAAATGGACACCAAATTGTTGAAAGGCTTAAACAAGACACTTTGTGTAAAATCATTTCATAAGCTGGATACCTCAGAGAATAATAGAACATCTATGATTTCCTTTATTTCCCCACCAGGGGACCCTTTGCTTAGGCTTCTGCAGCCCACAAACCAAGGCAGAGTTGGCCTAGCAGCAGCTTCCCTGAAACAATACCTTATCCCAACACAACCCCAACACACCCCAGAGGACCCCAAGGCAGAAGTGGGGCTCGTGGGCAAACCCAGTGGGCAGTCCCCCCTCGTGTAATCCACGGTGAGAAGCCAGCTGCCCCCAGGAGGGCACAGCCTTTGGGAGGCAGGTTGGGGTGTGGCCACAGGCCCAGTGAGAGTGCTGGGGAAGCAGCAGGGAGGCACTGGGGGCAGGGCTCAGGGCTGCAGGCACAGATTTGTCCTAGAGAATGAAGCTTCCAGGGAAGACTCAGGCCTGGCTCGGGAGCCTTATCCCGGGGTGAAGCGGGAGGACTGGGGGGCTGCAGTGCCTGGACAGCATTTATGCTCACTGAGCCTTCTGTGAATTCCCAGTTGATACTCCCAGAGATGCTGAGTGAGATGCAACAGAAAGCAGTCCTGGACATGGAATCTGGTTCAACAGCTCTCAAGATCCACATCCTTCTGGGAAAAATGAGTAAAATCCTGAATTTCCTGACCATCTCTGATTTGGAAATCTTCATCAAAGCTGCCAAGATCTTGCTAGCAAGCACTATGAGTATGACGAAGAAGTCGCTCCTGCCAGACTAAGGCAGCCACCAGCCTGTCCTAGGGCTTCGCCAGCACCTACTGCCTTTTTCAGGAGGGTGCAGTGGTCAGCAGTGCCGAGCAGCACCCTAAAGCCCTTTTTATGTCTTGTTGACAGTTGGCTTGTAATTTGACCCATCACAGCTCCTTGGTTTGAAAAAAAAAAAAAAGTTTGGGAGGAGGCTGACAGCATCTGTGCTTGAAAAGACTAAATAATCAGAAACTACTAAGTTCAGCCCTGACCTGACAACATTAAAAGCAAGTTATTTGTTAGGCAACACATGTCAAGACCTGCCCTGCCTGCTTCCACTCATCTCTGGAATGCAATTCTTGCTCAGCCCTCCCGTGTTTGGGTGACTCAGGATCTGACTGTCTCAGAGCCGAGCCCCACCAGCTCTTGGCTGTGTGACCATAGGCAAGTAGTTCTATGCTTGTTTCCTCATCAGTGAAAGGAGTCTAGAGATAATACCCCAGGAGGCCCTCACTAATCGCCACCTCATCACAAACACCCGACCTTCCGTCCCTGCCAAGGCAGAGGGAAACCCAGACAGGAAACCGACACCAGCCTGCAGCAAGGTCCCCAAAGCAGGGGCTGGCTGGGAGCTCAAAAAGGCCCGCCCCCAAGCCCCCTCTGGTAGCCGGGACCCTTTTGCTTGCTGGTAACAGTCACCAATTCAAGCAGGGAACGCGAAATGGGAAGTGAGCACTGCAGATGGGAGGTACAGAGGGCCTTAGGGAGGACTGGGGTACAGGCTCCTCCAGGGTCAGGAGGGCTTTGTTCTCTTCGTGGCAACACTCGTCTTGCTCTGAAGACATATTTTCTGTGCATCTCAGGTCACGCAGCTTTGTCTCTCAAAAGACCTGACTGGCCTGGCGTGATCAGGAGGCCGTGATGGAGCGAGGAGTTCTGTAAACATGGCTCCTAGTTGAAGCCTGAGCACGGGGAAGGACAGTGGTTTCCAGAGAAGGGATACTCAGGAGCTGGGCAGCCCCCTCTCCGTGTGCCTTTCATACATCCCGGGGACCCTGCAAACTTCCCAGGCTGGCCTCGTGGCAGCCTAAACGAAGACCAGTATAGGGAACCCCTTCTTCCCAGCCCATTCTAGCAATTAGCCATCCCAGCTGTCAATAGTGACACCACGCCCCACCTCCGAGGCCCTGCTCTCCTACTGATCTCACCCGCCTGCCACCAGCCTTCACCAAAACCTCGTCATCACCACAAACTGTGGGAACTGAGCAGCTGAGCTGGTTCTAGCATAGTAGTAACTAGTGGCCAGGTATCACAGTCACTTCCACTATCTGACTGTCACAACTTGTTGGCACAGAAACAAGTTACTTTGTTGGTACTGGGCCAGAAATGACCAGTGTGGAAGCATACCGCTACAGACTAGCCTCAGTCTCAGTGCGCCTTGTTATTTCTGCTCCTATGCTCAGCATGCACAGAAGCCCCTTTTCTTACCAGGCACGGGGACAGAAGCTTCTACATCAGTCTTAGCAACAAATAAGTCCTCCCCAACTTGTGGTCCAATCTCAGAGCCTTCCCGCGTTTCTCCCCAGGACTGGAGACAGTCAGCCGTGGAATGGAAAGCATGTGTGTGGAGTCAGACAGCCCTAGCTTGGGATCTTGGCTCCACTGCTTGCTAGTTTCGGGACCTTGGGCAAGGCAGTGAGCCCTTCTGTGACTCAGTTTCTCATCTGCTAAGGATAACCGTAGAACATACTTCACAGAGTCATAGTGACAGTTAAAGGAGTAACGTCAGGAAAGCACACTGCTTAACAGATACCGGCTCGTGTTACCAGCCAAGTCCTCCCTTTCTCCTTTCACAAAACCTGGAAATGGTATCCCAGCAATGCAGAGGTTGTAAACAAGTGGCCTTGCCAGAGGCGTTCTGTTTGGCCAGCCCCTTGTTTTAAAGTCCTTCGTTGCCAACATTTAAGAGACAAGAGAGTCACATAGAAATACCATTTCCAGCTTCTCTTGTAACTGCTGCTCTGTGCCAGTGTTATCAAAGGCCAGCGAGAGTTAAGAGCACTCAGGGACGATTTTCATTTAAAGAAGTGAGTACCTCACACCCCATGAAGAAATAAAGTAGCCAACTGGATGGCCAGAACTATACAAATCCAGGTCCCATGTTTGCCAGTGCTCCTGTAACAAAGGATCATGTAAACCAGGTGACTTAAACAATAGAACGTATTGTCTCACAGCTCCGGAAGCTGTAAGTCCAGGATGAAGGGTTTCCCTCCAAAGGCGCTAGGGGCAAAGGTGTTCCAGGCCCCTGTCCCAGTTCTGGTGATTCCTTGGCATGTGGTGGCATCAGCCTGGTCCCTGGTGCCCTCCCTGTGCGTGTGTCTGTCAAATTCCCCCTTTTATACATAAACATCAGTCATGTTGGAGCAGGGCCTGCTCTGCCGCAGCACGGCCTTGTCTGAACTAATTCTATCGGCAACGACCCTACTCCAAGTAAGGTCACGTTCTGAGGTGCTGAGGGTTAGGGCTTCAATATAAAAATTGGGAGGAACACAATTCAACTCATAAAGCTGTCTCTGCCAGCCTCTCCCAGGCTTCCTGAAGGGACAAATTCTCTGACTCATTGTCATTTTATCTTCAGTGGCTTGGCAGAAAGAGGTCTTCTCCTAGAAATGAAAATGAACCAAGTCAGGCTGTTGCTCATCACTAACCTGTTCAGTTACACACATGGGTTTCCTGATGGGTCGCTTTAATCAGTATATGCCCCATGGCAAATGGAGCCTCATCCATGCCCACAGAAATTCATTACTAATTCAGTAATTCATTAGACCGTGACACAAATACACACTGAGTGCCAACCATGTGCTGAGAGATGTCCAAGGAGAAAAGAACAGGTTGTCAGTCCTCGGGGATTAGAGTGGGGGGTCAGAGAAGCAAGCAATAGCAAGACAATGGAACTGTTGCTTTGAAGGAGGAGCACAGTAGAGGCAAAGAGTCACCAGGAGGAAGGCGGGGGGCCATAGGAAGCCCCTCTGAGGGGGAGGCCTCTGAGCTGAGCTGCAGAATGAAGAATGACAGTAGGGGTGCATGCTGGGAGTCTCCAGGAGAGGTGAGTCTGTCCAAAGACATGGAGAGCAGGCATCTGGGGCAGACATACAAGGTTCTGGCATTTGGAGACATGTTGGACAAAAATTTTTTTTTTTTTTTGGCTGTCTGTCCACCCCCCAGCCCCCTTCTTTTAGAGGAAATCACTTGTGTGAGTATTTATTAGTGAGCAGCACGGCCCTGCCTCCCACTATGGAAACTATAGAAGCCGCATTGACACCAGTAATTTCAGCAGGGAAAATGTAATATAAATGATTAACAAGTTAGTACTAAAAGGAAAGGAAAAGTGAACTCTTAAGGAAAACACAAACGGCAAACACACAGCTCCCTCAATTTCCTCTCTTTGAGAGTACTTGGGGAGGGAACTAAGAACTTGAGAAAGCAGCACCCAGGCTGATTTACACCTTGCTGGGCTGGGCGGATATAACTGCAGCCTATGCTGCTGGGGAAATTCACTGGGCTGGGGTGCAGGAAGCTGGTGCTGGTGCATAATAAGTGCCTGCCTGGCTGCAGAAGCTGGTTCACAAGAAGCTTCCCACTTAGGTATCAGCAAAACTCACTAGAGTGAGTGCCACCAGACTCCTACACACTGCTGGAGGCCCCAACAGAGAAGGAAAACCACACACCAGAGACACCCCTTTCCCTTATGCCTTGAGGTGCATCTCCAGCACCTTAAAAAGCCTAACTTTGCACTAGCTGCGAAACCGAAATATTCTCAGGGTCCAGCTCTGGAATCTCAAAACTGGGCAAAAAAGAGTGGATTCGAAGCTGAAGGAAATCCTCCTCTTCCCAGCTCCCAGTGCTCAGCTGAAGCGTGGAAAAGCACACACCCCAGGGCGAATCAGCTTGGCCAAGATGAATGCAGTTTCAGTGATGCCCCGTCCAGGACTCTGCCACAGCAGTGGGGTTTGGATGAACACTTTCTGCTTTGAAAAAGCAAAGGTTATCTGTGATGCTTCCTGTTCTTATCCCTCTGGTCCTCTAGCCTCTTGTCTGTTCCTCAAATCCCCCATTTCCTTCCAGTAAAGCCCTTTCCTGCTGAAGCAGAAGTGAGACAGTCTTCTGTTGCTTGTACTCAGGGACCCTGATAGATACAGAGGAGCTGAGTAGTGAGGAGACGAGGCTAGACAGACGCGCAGAGGCCTGACAGACAGCCCTGTGTGCCTGGGTGACCAGCCAGCTCATGGAGGCACCGCCGCCAGGAGAGTGCTCCAGAGGGGAAGCAATAAATTTCCCATTTCTGAGAAGTGACATTCTCTCATCAGTGTCCCCAGGCTTCTTTAACAAATAGCCCCATTTTAAAAACCAAAGTTGACTATTCTTTCTTCCTTGTAAGGTAACAGCAGAAGAGAATTTAAAGAAACGGGGTTGTTAAACCAACGGGAAAAACAAATTTGTACTGCTACTTCGATAATACTAAATTTCAACACACAACTATTTATGTGGACAATACCCGGGAAAAACTGGTGTTTTGCAAACAAAGAAAAAAATTACCTTTCAACTAATGAAACATTGAGATGCTTCAAAAATTTCTTTCCAGAATAATCTTGCCAGAAGAATCCACACAGTACAAGTGACACCAGGGGAATCTGAGTAAAACTGGTAGAGACACCAATGCCAATATCTTGTTTGTAGTAATGTGCTAGTGTTGCAAGATGTTACCACTGGGAGAAAGTGGATCAAGGTACACAGATTGTTCTGTATTATTTCTTACAACTGCATGAGAATCTACAGGTTGTCTTAATAAAAATGTCAATTAAAAAAAATTTTTTTAAAGAATCCATACACATAAAAGATTTATGAAGACAAAGTAGGAAGCAAAAATCTTTATTTAAAAAAAAATTCACATTAAAAACAGCAATTTCTAGTCAATAATATAAAGCATTTTAAATTAATTATTTGAAAGTATGTACACTATATAAGTAAACATTTGAAACTGTACAGGTTTAAACAAATATTCATTTAGCAAACAAGTTAAATCACTATTACCTACTCAGCACTTGGAGTATTTCAGAAATAAAAGATTCAAAACACAAGAACAAGTGTTGTCAAGTATTTTTATCCTTAAGAACACGCTCTGCTCTCCATATCAAATCAGTCACAGTACTGTACAATAATCATGTCCTCATTTCTTTGGAAAGGTTATTAAAAATCAAATATACATATAATACACAAAACTTGTATTTTACAGTTTATTTCATTAAACATGTTTTAAAATAGTAAGTGAAAGTAAATTACAATCTTCCGAATTCATTCATTTCATATCAAAGAATATGGACCCTCTCTACATTCTACCTGCCCAAAACAGAGTATGAAGCTCTATCAAGCAACACCCATCACCAATTCAAACTGAGCTGAAACACAAGTCACCTGTTAAAAATGACGGACATCAGGATATGCAACCTACCTACACACTGCAGGAGCCTGCTTTCAGGGGATGGGAATGGCTGCTACAGCTGCCTAGGATGAGGTCTGCTGGCTACACTCCAGAACTCTTATCAGTGGCCCATCTCTAGAAAGTGTTTGAATAACTCAAAATTCCTTCTAAACCAAAAAGCAGGATACATTTATTATAACATCAGAGGCAAAACCAATCCAATCAGAAAATAGGTGTTTGTAGGAAAACTCACAGACATGCATAATTTATCTGATAATCCCTGATATAGTGTGGTGGATTTTAAGGGGTGGGCCATCTTCATTCCTGTCTTTGTTAGCAAAATGTTTTCTGCTGTAGCAGGTCTGGAGGTCCACAAGACTGGTACACAGCAGTAAATGCATATTCCAGACATGACAGTGTTCACTGTCAAAGAACTACTGAAACCGAAGGCAGTGTACTGAATGCTGGTAACCCTAACCTTCATGCAAGAGCTACACTAATCAGGCTTCCCTGTCTCCTTTATGTACCAGGTTTAAGACACCTTAATTGGTACTTCCCACTCACAAACACTGACTATTGTACCATCAAGACTCTCATTAAAGATACTGCACGCACCTATTACGATGAGGCTTCAGCTCCCTGCTTTTGAACATTCTGCACCTAAGCAATTCAAGGACTGCAGCAGATACTGGGACCTTACACGAGGTCCTTGCATCTTGAAACGACCTCACATCAAACACACAGGAAGATAACATCCTGAATTCCCAGGGAAGCAGAATGTGTTCTCAGAAGCATCTAATCTACTCCAAACTAAACTTCAAAGTGATAGGAGAAACACTGTATTAAATAGAGTGTAGAAATAACATTTCTGGAAGTAAAAAAATAGTCACTGTGGAATGCTCAGTGGTTAAAAGTGTCGCAGTGTTTCATGCTTTAACAAACCTTGCTTGTAGAAACTTTCTAATTAGCTGTGTTTCTGCAAAGTTTTTCTTTGCCACTACCTACTGTAACCAGTTTTCATTGCACATCTTTTGCTAGGAACCATTTCACCGCTGCTTGCCACAGCTTCCTCTAAAAAACTTAGATTTCTTGTGACCATTTAAATGAGGCAGTTATCATCACTCACACATTAATCTTTGGCATTTTGATGTTTTTAAAAGGGAAACACCAATCTTTTAACACTTGCTTGTATTTCATTCTGCAGTCAGCACTGAGCAGCACTCTTTTGTGGTTCTCATGGACATTCCCACATGCAATTCCTGTGTCCTGCAGACTGCAAGACTCCTCAGTCCACTCCTACTGGGCACAACTAGACTGGCCTGGTTATTGAGAAACTGAGAGTAGGAGGTTCAGCTGAAAAGCAAAGTGAGAGGCCCTGTTAGTTCTGCTATGGTATACCATACTCAAAAAGTTGTTTAGACCCTCAAAAACAGAATGAGAGAAAAAGCTAAGATGTTCAAAAGACCAAAACAGTATAAACTGATTTCTGAAGCAGCCACTGGGCACTGAGTTCTGTGGAGGCCTGTGGGGAGTTACACTCGGTCACCAAACTTAGGCCCTCAACTCATTCAGAATCCAATGAACATGACAGAAACAACTACATACCCTACTGTCTAGGGACAGAAATAGACCTAAATAATCAATTTCACCTTTTTCTAAGGCAGTATGTTTTGGGAGGACTAAGTGTAAGCTGAATTCTTTAAATGACCCTTTTGACATTGTGCACAACAGCAGGCACAATGAGGGGATTTCAGCTCACCTGACACTGACCACAGGAGTGCCCTGCCCACCCTGCAATGGAGGGCCTGATGAGAGCCAGGCCCCCAGGAAACCCAGAGAAATCTGCCCTGGCGCCAGTTGGGGGCAGGGCAGCCTGCACACTGCAAGCCTGTCACCCAGGCCCTGGAGGAGACCTGAAGTTAAACGGCTCTGGAGTGAAGTCTGCTATCAGTACAAACTGCCTAGTCATCAAAATGATCACCCTTTCCTCTTTTTTGTGTTTCCAGGGAGAGGGGACACAAAATCACCTGTTTTTCCTGCCAAAAATAAAAAACCTGAATCTAATCATGAGGAAACAGACAATACCAAATTGAGGGAAGTTTTACAAAATAACTGGCTGTGAAGATCAAGAAAGCCAAACAAGGCCCAACCCTCGGCCTTCTCTCCTTTTGCCAGGACTGGGCCCCTGCACACTTCGTAGATTGTAATAGAGGCTCCACCTCCAGCTGCTCCAGTGAGTCCATCCTCCCTCTCTACTCGCAGACATTTTTCCAGCATCAATTTTCCCCATTTTGGATCTTCCCCATGAACATACAAATATGCATTTGCCTGTTTTTAAAAAGGGAAGGAAAGTCCAAAACAAATGAAAATAGTTATCTGTGGGGGAGGAAGTAAAAGGCTGGGGGTGCTGGAAAAGAAAGCAAGACTTCCCAATTTACCTTCTTCTTTAACTCTGACTTGGGAACCATGTGTTTTATACAATGAAAAAACAATATTTAATCAAAATGCAGAAAAAAGTGTCCAAATATTGAAAACAAACGTAACTATGTATCAAGTTAATGGTATAATCACACAAAATATAATTACTTAAAATGACTTTTTAAAAAGTATTTTAACTGGATAACCCTATAACTACAGTGATAACTTTTAAAAATATGACCCAAATATCACTACAAAGGAATAATATAGCCATAAAAAAGAATGAAGTTGTGACACATCCTACAACATGGATGAGTCTTGAAAACATTATGCAAAGAGAAAGCAGCTAGTCATGAAAGGCCATGTACAGTATGATTCAACTTAATGAAATGTCCAGGACAGGCAAATCCACAGAAGTGGCAAGTAGATTAGCAGAAGGGGGGAGTGGGGAACCCGCTAATGGGAACAGGCGTGCTTTTGCAGGGGAGATGGAAATGTTCTGGAGTTAGATAGTGGGGACGGTTGCATAACTTAATGACTATACTATAAACCACTGAATCGATCACTTTAAAAGGCTAAATTTTATGGTACATGAATTGTATCTCAATAAATGACCCATTTCACTTCCGGGTACAGCCCATCTTTTCTCTCCCAACGTAGTATAACTCAAACCATTTACGCACACTCACTGCCTGAGTCTCTCTCTGAGTCTCCACCCAATCCGATCAGGCTCTCACCAACTTTTCCACTCTTCCCCAAATTCTCTCGTTCTTACCGTATACTAAGCCCCTAAACTATACTAAAGACTAGAAATAAAATATTCTCCATAGCAGCACCCTACTCCTAATACTTAATAGGTGCTCAATAAAAACTTGCTGACTGAATTGAATAAATGAATGATGGTAAATACAGACTTAGCTCTAGATTCAGTTGTTTAAACTTAGGAAGAAGAGAGAAAACAGAAGCACTTCTAACATCTATGGCACAGCCAAAAATAACTCTCCTTTTTTTCTGAAATGTGGCATTTTATCACATATGCTGCAAAACAAAACTATTCAGCAACCTAAACACCACTATTTGAATCTTACACAAACAGTTCATTCATCTTAAACACTGCAACTTTCAGTATCAGAAAGAATTAAAGAGCAATTGAAAATTCTAAATCCATCACCAAAAATGTGAGAGAGCATTCAATGTTTGAATTCTTGCTCATCAGAATAAAATTATGTACAATTTTTAAAATTAAAATTAAAAACATGGGATCAGTTTTGGAGTCAAGATGGTGATGTGAGTAGGACAGCGAAAATCTCCCCCCAAAACCATATATATTTCTGAAAATACAACAAATACAACTATTGCTATAAGAGAGACCAGAAGATACAGCACAACAACCAGGCTACATCTACATCTGCAAGAACTCAGCACCTGATGAAGGAGGTAAGATACAAGCCACGGCCCAGTGGGACCCAAGCGCCCCCCCACCCCAGCTCCCCGGCGGGAGGAAAGGAGTCAGAGCAGGGAGGGAGATGGAGCCCAGGACTGCTAAACAACCAGCCCTAGCCATCCGCACCCAGAGTGCAGACACACAGTGCGTGGTGTGCTGGATATTAGGGAAACGGAACAGTAAAACCTGCGAGCAGGTCCCCACAGCCGACGTACCTGGGACAAAAGAAAAGTGAGTGACTTTTGAAAGTCTTAAAGGGACAGGGGCCTCACAGCTGGACGAAAGCATCCTTGCACACTCAGCCCAGCAGCTGGGAAGCACGGGGAACTCCAGGCACCCTAACCCCCTGGGAGGCAGCACAGCAGGCCCCTCATAGCGATAAACAGCCACCCATCCATTCCCACTCCAGCGCGGCCCCACCATAACACTAACTACATATCTTTCAATAATCACCCTAAATATAAATGGACTGAATGCACCAATCAAAAGACACAGAGTAAATGAATGAATAAAAAAGCATGACCCATATATATGCTGCTTACAAGAGACTCACCTCAAACCCAAAGACATGCACAGACTAAAAGTCAAGGGATGGAAAAAGATATTTCATGCAAACAACAGAGAGAAAAAGCAGGTGTTGCAGTACTAGTATCAGACAAAATAGACTTCAAAACAAAGAAAATAACAACAGATAAAGAAGGACAGTACATAATGATAAAGGGCTCAGTTCAACAAGAGGATATAATCATTATAAATATATATGCACCCAATACAGGAACACCAACATATGTAAAACAAATACTAACAGAATTAAAGGAGGAAATAGAATGCAATGCATTCATTTTAGGAGACTTCAACACACCACTCACTCCAAAGGACAGATCCACCAGACAGAAAATAAGTAAGGACACAGAGGCACTGAACAACACACTAGAACACATGGACCTAATAGACATCTACAGAACTCTACAT